ACATGTTCTATTTTCCCTCTTCTCATAACATAGCCGAAAAATGATGACTGTCTCCTTCTGATGTCTGTGATAAGTTGTCTTCGGGCTCCCGCCTCTTTCAAGGCCTCTTGATTGCTCTTTTTGGCCGTCCAAGGTAGTCTGAGCATTCTTCTGTAAAACCCCATCTCCGAGGAAACCAGAAATTGTTTGGCCTGCCTACCGATTGTCCAGGATTCACAGCCATATGTTAAAACTGGATGTATGTAGCAAGCAAGAATTCCTTTTCTAACTCTCAATGACAAGGATATATTGCACAAGCTGTTTTTTTATTTTTTTTAAATGCAGTTTTTGCCTGTCCTATTCTGTTTCTTATCTCAGTTATGCATCTTCCCTATGATGTTATCCATTTGCCTAGATATTTAATTTCTTTACTTGTCCTAAAATAACACCATCGGCTTTTATTACACATTTAGGAATAATTCGTTTCTTTGATACCACCAATACTGTCTTCTCATTATTCAAACCATTCTTCCACTTTCTAACACCGGCAAAATATTAGTAACAACAATTATAAGATAAAAAAGATAGCGCTATATTGGACACATCCTGAGGTTTTAAAAAAAAAAGCACCACATCAGCAGACAAGAAATTTAGATGGGAACTAAAGTGACTGAGGGAGAGGGGACATTCAAAAGAGACCCTAAAACAAACATAAATGAGAGAGGCTAAAGGATATCGACATGATTGAATAGGGCAGAACAGAATGGAGGAATAGATATGTGAAACCTATGCGGCCCACATTTCCACCCCGGGATAAAGTTAAAGTTACCTGCGTATACCTTACAGAACGTTGCAGAACCGATCACATAAATTTTTGGATGTTGTGTTTTTGTAGGCAAATTTTAACATCAGTAGTTCGCCACTGCCACTGAGCGGTCAGCTGTCGGTACCGCAAGACAAAACGTCCGCATCAGGGGTCGAACCCGGCACCCTGGCGTTACGAAGCGCCTACACAATGCCTATGCCATAGACGCCGATAAACACACAGGCTGGCGTCATATACCCATCACGTTTCAAGACGTGGAAAAAGCCCAGTACTAAAGAAAAAGACCATTTTCCACTCTCTCATGCGTAAATGAGCTAGACTTATATTTTATAAACCAATCAGCATTTGATGGTTGATGTGGCCAGAACTACGCCGGGCGACTTTACTTTCCAGGACTGCGCTTGGTACCCACTCAAGGCTGGGTCGACCTGGGAGCCAAGGTGACTTGAGAAAAATTTTCGGTTCTACAAGGAGCCCTGTACTAACAGCTACTTTACATGTGTTATATTCCATCCAACAAACGACTCAGGAGATTCAACGCATTGGAAACCCCCGTGTGGGATCTAGGGAAAACAAGAACAGACCCACAGCCTACCCAGAAGCATGTCGTAAGAGTCAACTAATTGGGAGCTTCCTTCGAAGTCGGAGTGCATCTGCCTGAGAGGCAAGGAACCAACAGTCTGCATACAAATGTGTCAGATCTGTCAAACGGATGCACACGCAACACTCAGGTTCTGGAATTAGGCTGCAGTCCAGAAGTGGACGGACAACCAGAACTTTCCACCAGAGTTTTACAGCTGGTGAACGCAAAGAAAGAAGAAGAGCACTTTGGAAACTAATTACACCGGGTTTTTCGGGTTATCTGCAGCCTTGAATTTGTCACTGAAGAGGCTCTCGTTTATCAAAAATTTGGCATCCCGAAACGTCATCCACGTTCCTTAAAAAGTACTGGAGATATGAGTTTTGATTTTGTTTCTGTTCTTTTCGGTTTATTTTCTTCTCCTTTGTTTGGTGTTTTCTTTCTTTCTTTCTTTCATTCTTTTTTTCTTTCTTTCTTTCTTTCTTTCTTTCTTTCTTTCTTTCTTTCTTTCTTTCTTTCTTTCTTTCTTTCTTTCTTTCTTTCTTTCTTTCTCTTTCTTTCTTTCTTCTTTTCTTTCTTTCTTTCTTTCTTTCTTTCTTTCTTTCTTTCTTTCTTTCTTTCTTTCTTTCTTTCTTTTTTCTTTCTTCTTTCTTTCTTTTCTTTCTTTCTTTCTTTCTTTTCTTTTTTCTTTCTTTCTTTCTTTCTTTCTTTCTTTCTTTCTTTCTTTCTTTCTTTCTTTCTTTCTTTCTTTCTTTCTTTCTTTCTTTTTCCCTTTTCTTTCGTGCCAGTTTATATTTTTGTGTATGCCTATTTATTCACTCTAGCTTGCTTGTAGATTTCCTTCTTTTATATTTCTCATTTCACTTACTCATCCATTTTTTTCTTTCTTTCTTTCTTTCTTTCTTTCTTTCTTTCTTTCTTTCTTTCTTTTTCTTTCTTTCTTTCTTTCTTTCTTTCTTTCTTTCTTTCTTTCTTTTTTCTTTCTTTCTTTTCTTTCTTTCTTTCTTCTTTCTTTCTTTTCTTTCTTTTTTCTTTTTTTTTTTCTTCTTTTCTTTTTCTTTCTTTCTTTCTTTCTTTCTTTCTTTCTTTCTTTCTTTCTTTCTTTCTTTCTTTCTTTCTTTCTTTCTTTCTTTCTTTCTTTCTTTCTTTCTTTCTTTCTTTCTTTCTTTCTTTCTTTCTTTCTTTCTTTCTTTCTTTCTTTCTTGCCTGTTTTTTTTCTGTATGCCCATTGATGTATTTTCGCCTGCTTTTATTTTTCTTTCTTTTATCTTTCTAATTTTATTTTGTGATTAATTTTTTTTCTTATGTGTTTCTTTGTTTTTTTCCCTTCCTTCCTTCCTTTCCTCCCTCCTTCCTTTTTTCCCTCCCCCTCTTCTCTGACCTTTTCCTGCAATATCTCCATATTTGTTCTCTTTGTCTTTCCCTTGTCTTTTCACCCTACTGGGTTCCTTCCCAATTATGCAAGATTTTCTGTCCCTTTCTTTTAACCTTGAAATGTCGCCAGAAGTGTGCTCCCTGCAACTTGCGACGATCAACAACTGCTTTAAAAAGTTTTTACCTCTCCAAGGTGGCAGCGTGTAGGATTAAATTCTCAAGGACGGAAACCAAACAGCACGGCTAGCTCCAGATATAAGGTCGTTCAGCTCAAACGGGAATTCCCGTTTTTGTGAGGCTGGCGTCAGTGTTGCCACTTTGGATGTTTTACATCCAGATTTATATGTTTTCCCTTGCATTTAGATGGCGTTTTTGACGTTTAGACGGTAGATGTTTTTCAAGATGTTTTTATTTGGATTGAATTTATCAAATCTAACCGAAGAAACAGGATGAAATTTGACCTCTTAAATGCTGTCTTGACAATAAAATTCGGCCTGATAAGAGTAGGAAAAGGCTGTTCCACTTATCAGCTCCCTGATTGGGTATTAAAAGAAATTGGAACAGCGAAAGCATAACAGAGTCATTTTGGATCTGAAGCTTCAACTTCATCATCCAAGCTAAGTTTATCCTGTGGATCTTGTAAGGCAGACTTCAGTAAAGATGAGGACATGATTCTATTGGGAAAGTCATATCAATTGCTTGTAAGTTGTGACTTTTTTTTGCCTTTGGATGCTTTTTTAAGATGTTTTCCAAGCAAATTTAGATATTTTTAGATATTTTTTGACTCCGTTTTGGATGTTTTTTGTCAAAGAAATGTGGCAACACTGGCTGGCGTTGCCAGAAAAATAAACAGCTATGAGAAAATATTTATCTTCAAAATAATAATTCATTCAATAACACATGTGGCAAATTAATGAAACTGTAGTTCAATTTGTGTATCAATCCACTTGATGCCAGTTGTTACCACCGACCGGTCAGGCCAGTCTCACAGAAAATGGAATTTCCGTTTGAGCTGTACGGCAATTCCGAAGAAATTTTGAGTCGATCCGCCAACAATACCTTATTGCACGTACGTACAAACATGGCTTTGGCGCCATGTTCTTGGCTAACGAACTGTATCAGTTGTACTCATGTTTACCAGCTGTAAAAACTGTTTGTCCTTGCTTTTTCTTGATAAAGTTTTGTGTTGTTGCTGTCTGCATTAAATAAACCCTCCTCATGGCTCCTAAGAATGTGAAACGTTTCAGTGTCAGTGGTGTAAACAAGTCTAAAGGCGTCACAGCCGAAACGAGGAAGGAAATAATAACTAAACTTGAGAATGACGTTCGTGTTTATCCATGACAACCTAACGCTTTAACCACTTGGCCAGGACTCCTTTATCCTATGGAAAGTTAGCCAGATAAATGTAACAAGCTGTACAGAATATACTATTCCAATGTAAAACAGAAGGGAGTCGCCGTGGCTTTGGCGACAAGACGCCTGCCTGCGGATCGGAAGGTCATGGTCTCGCGCCCTGACAAAGCTGGACTTTTTTTTGTCAAAAATGACCTTGACTCCCAGGTCGACCCAGCCTTAAGTGGGTACAATGTGCAGTCCTGGGAGGTAAATGCAGCCGTCGTGATGCTGACCACGTCAGCCACCAAGTGCCGATTGGTCTATAAAACATAGGTGTGGAAATAGGACTTTTACTTTACTCTATCCAAAACAAAATATACAAGTTACCGGTGTTACTTTGATTATAGATATTGTGACCCTTTCACAGCATCCGGTCCTGCAAGCTGAGCTATACTGGTCATGTTACACGGCATGGTGGCGTAGATAGAACGGAGAGGCAGAGTACAGTTTGGGGGAAAAAACGAGGCAGAGGTAGATCCTCACAAAAGTGGATACAAAACATTGAAGATGCACTGGCTCTGACAGAGCACTGGGATAGAGAATTGACTAGAGAAAGAGAGGTTTTCAGGCGTTTCCTGGCGTGAGCGACGTTCTGTAAAATCCTGCTGATGAATGCTGCTGCTGATGATTGTACCACTTGGCCATCTGTCACACATACTATGTAACTAAAAGAATTAGGGATAGAAAATAACTAAATAAGCCAAAAAAGGCATGTTCTGGTTCAGGACTGTTCTCTCTTGTAAGAACAAAAGACAATAAAAACTGTTGCAGTTCACCGGGCCATTGACTTCAGTATCTGATACAAAACAGTAAATATATGAAATAGAAGAAGACTAATTTACTTACTTGTTCTTGGAAGATTTCTCTCTCTTGTCGCTGGTTTTGACCTGACAATGTCTGCTCTAAGGATTGCCTTAGATTATCCAAGTGATTCTGTGTTCTCCCTGTGTTTTGTCCCCTGTAAAATATTAACATTATCTGGTCATGTCTTGAGAAGGGGAAAACTGGAGGCTTTCAGTTTCGTGGAACATGATTTCTGACTGAATCAACTGCATAGCTTGTGTGTAGCAGTTGAATCAGCGAGACTGGAAAACCATTCAGAAGCCACCTGTCGTTACAACAGCCAAAACAGAATGGGAGTTGTTGCCCTAAAAACACTTAGAGGTGTACTCAGGAGAAGATCGGAGCACTTATGGTCATGTCCGATGTGCGATAAAAATGATCTTTAAATAAACAATGAACAACAGTTAGTAGAAAGACAGTGGACGTTTTAGGCGTGTTTGTCATCGCAGGCAGTTGCCACATTAACTCATTAATCTGAAATGTTGTTTTGACTACTACTGATCCATGGTGTTAATTCAAAAACTTTTTAGGTAATCAAACATTAGCTATTCTTACTACAATTCTTTTAGAATATACGGAATTACAGTAATTTTGGGCTGATACCAAAAAATTGCAAAGGAAAAAAAAAATAGTTTGATTTTTTAAAGGAAATATATTTTTTTTTTCATCACACTCGTTCGGAGTTGTTGCGTACAGTCGTGGTTTTCTGTGTTTATATTGCTCTTCTCTGTTAGCTTGAGCGATGCATTGATTAATCCTTTTACAGGAGCCAACTATGCCGCCTACCCAGCTCGTCTTTGTTCTTCTTTGGCCTTTCTCCCCAGATGTTCGGCTATAGAACGTCTCATATAGAGATAGATCTGTTTGTAGTCTTATAAGATGGCTTTGTTTCAATGTAGTTCAGGCTACGTCTCGATTACACCTACGTAACTGAGAACTTTCAACTTAATCTTATTAAGATCAGAAAGAGTTCTTCCGGTCACCCAGCATGCCATTGAAAATCGTCACACGAGCCACAAGTGACGAATGTAATATAGATTGCCGACGCTTGCTTTATTACCTCATTGGATCCGTGGTGATATAGTGATTTGGGCACTCGCTTGTGTAATTACTCAGAATAAACTCAGAAAACAATGTTCAGAAATAAGATACAGATCATCCCTACTGAAGATTAATCTAATCAACTCACAATTGTTTGGATCCATTATTAAGTAAACCCTGTGGCGCGTAGGGCTGACTAGACTAGTTCAGTGTTTGTTTATTCTTTGCTTCTTTGATTTCCTGTATAGTTCCCTTGTCTGGCCTTATCTCTTTTTATAAACTTTTACTGAGTTCGCGTTTGTTTGCTTATTTGTATTCTATTGTTACTTCCTGTTCCTGCAGTCTGGTCATGGTTGTAGAATAGATTACAAGTAACCACTTGATGATCGCATGCTACTTTTGGAAGAACATTTACTATTTCAGTATGTTGCTGATCCCATTTCCTATAAACAGCATGGGTAAAAGTAACGTTGATCTCTTCCACGCCCCGCCCATTTACACACTAGCTCATTTCTGAATGGTAGTTCCTGAACCTGTCACCTTGGCACAAGGTTACGAGGGCGTTTCCCAATGCTGTTGATATCTCACGTTGTTTATTTCAGCACGCTTGCGCTTTTAACACTCCGAAAACACGAAGAAACTCGTCCTAGCACATCTCCCTAGAGAGCGCCGCAACCTGTGTCGCAGGCATTCTCTTTCTCGGAATGAAAGTGTAAATGCAAGACATCACAGAAAGCAAACAACAGAGTGGGACACACCCGTAACCTTAAGGAAAGTCGACCAGTCCAACAAACTTGTGAATGAAACGTGACCTAATCTATTTGTGGAGATTAAAGTGAACCTAACCGAAACTCGACCAGCCCAACAAACTTGTGAATGAAAAGTGACCTACTATATTTGGGTAGATTAAGGTGGACCTCACCCACAGCATGGAGGGGGGGGGGGGTGATCTACGTGGCACAGTGACCAAGCCGTGTGTCTCACACTTTGAAGATCGTCGATTCGTTTCAAGGCTACGTCGTTCGTTTAAAGGCAGCGAAATTCGTTTCGCGGCAGCGTCGTTCGTTTCACGGCTGCGTCGTTCGTTTCACGGCTGCGTCGTTCAGTTCACGAGTGGAGTTCTTATAAAAATTCCGAGAAATCGACGCCATGGCTACAGTTCGTGATTTCTGTGACGCTTTTGGCAAGCGGCTTGTCATTCTGCAGAGAGAGACCAATTAAAAGGAATACAACCTCGTACAACGATGTCGATCCTGTTCAGTTGAAATTTCAGTTTTCAACACCTATATGTTCTAGTACGAAAATAAAGCTGTTCTTTGTCATTCGGGACTGCTTCAGTCTCCAACCACTGTCTTCGGTCCCAGTCATTCTCAATATTTTATTGCACAAGCCGGAATCTCATTTACGCTATCGTCTATAAAAGATGTGGCATGAAATACATCAGTGAAACCGGAGCTACGACTAGCCGGCAGGTTCAGCCGATATCTTTCTACCTCAAAACAGTGCCGGTACATTTTAATTCTCATGGTCACGAAAGCGTCCTCGGCCAGTCTAGTGACATCAACCATAAAGTCGGGAAGTCGAGAACCACCTGTCTATCTAACTGGCTCCTATTCGCCTAGAGGACTTAACACCTAACACAGTTGTCTCTAAAAATTTAGAGTTACAGCCCTTGAAATTATTAGCGCTGCCTAGTTAGTATTTATTTCAGGTGGACAAACACGTAGAAACAATACTTAATAATCTAGTCATCTTCTTGTGAAATGAAATTTGTCGTTATTCTGAAGCCCCACCCTGGCTCTTACCAGGGGCCGCAATATAGCCCGACTATAAATATGGTGTAATGGCTGAACGCGGTTGCTGGGACCTCTCCACGGGTGATCCCCATCCACATGGTGGCACTTTGTGTCATCTGGGTGTTTATCGCTTGTGTGATGTCCTAGTGGGGTATAAAGTCTACTTCACACGCAGAAAATAAACTGGAAAGAAAGATATATGATTTCTTTAAGATATACGTCAATTAGGTGATTTTGTGTATTTTTTTCAATTAGTCGATTTGTACATTTATATCATTTACATAATGAGAGAATTCAAATCAAAGCGTCCAACTGTCGTTTGCGACAGTGTGAAGCTATCTGGTTCTACTTTTCTTTGGGTGTGATATATTTTCATGATATATAAGGAACATAACAAACAAAATGAGACACTGCTACAATTTAATTGCAAGGATATGTTAAATGTGCGACCAACTGAGAAAGACTGGGTTTGTTAGCGTCCATACATTCAGGATATCTTTAGACTGAAACGATACGCTTAAATGCGTTTCCAAAGAGATGTGGCGTACTTTCTGTTAAGGAATAATCAATAAACTATTTGTTGAAATAACTTCATAAATTCCTCATTTGTTAAGTACGTTACTGTGATTTCATCTTTAACAAACGTCAAGAAGTCATATCATAATCATTATTATATGCGTGTCGACAAGCGTAAATTGTTATGTTTAACCATCTCACGCTCTCACTAGAAATATTGATTAGGTCAGTGTGCTTGTCTCGCCTTACTGATATGATTAGGCAATCTAGGTATTTATCTTTTTAGCCTTCCCCAAGCTCTCTTTCCATCCATCTTGCCAGATGTTAATAAGTTCTCGAGTCCACTCTTTCAACACTGACTGCCTAAATCTCACTTTTGTAATAAGCTTAATTACCAATCTTAGGTGAAATGAACAATTCTTAGCAATCTTAAAAATAAAATAAACAATCTTAAAAATAAAATAAACAATCCTAAGAAGATTAATTAATAATCTGTTTCAATCACTGGCATCATGAGAGCCAATAAACTGAAATGGCTGAGACATATTGAGAGAATGTCAGATGACAGCGAGGTAAAATCTGTATACACAAGGGATCTGAATGGTCGTAGACCAGAGGCAGACCAAGAAAATGACGGTGAGATTAAGTCCAGAAAGATCTGCAAACACTTGGTGTCACCAACTGGAAAGACACACCGCACATTTTTAATTATGAGCGGTGTGTCTCTTCTTTTTGAAGAGTAAAGACAGATTTACAGGTCTAATGATCTTCTTCAAGATGTATAGGTTAAAGATGGAAGGAAACGTCACTACAGGCAGAGAAACGAACAAACTAAAGTAGATGGACAGACACAGAGACACATATATACAGACAGGCAGGCAGGCAGACAAACAGACACGAAAAAAAATTACATTAAATATGAAGTTACATGCGACTATACAAATATTGAAAACAAATTAAGTGTATTGCTTTAGCGAAATGTCCACCGTAACTGACGAACACTAAATGGAGCGAATTCAAGAAGGACGAAGACATAGAAATACATGGACTATCTCAAGAATCTACAGTTAAAAAATTATATATATATATAAAACGGCCCCGGAAGAGAGGAAGACAAAAAAATCGCACTACTGATTATGAAAAGGGAAACAAATTTACTGAGGTAGCAGGTAAAGAATCACCAAACTGGTTAGAAATAGGAATCAAATGGACTGAGGTAGCAGGTAATGAATCACCAAACTGGTTAGGAATAGGAAACAAATGGACTGAGGTAGCAGGCAAAGAATCGCCAAACTGGTTAGAAATAGGAAACAAATGGACTGAGGTAGCAGGTAAAGAATCACCAAACTGGTTAGGAATAGGAAACAAATGGACTGAGGTAGCAGGCAAAGAATCACCAAACTGGTTAGAAATAGGAAACACATTTACTGAGGTAGCAGGCAAAGAATCACAAAACTGGTTAGAAACAGGAAACAAATGATCTGATGAAATGTAGACGCCTAAGAGAAATGCTAAATCGAACTTTAATGTGAGAGAGACTAAAGGTGGTGGACTCCATCCATGATATCCAGCTAATTGTACAAACTAGAATAGAGTGGAAGAAAAAACTTTTGTGTCACGTATACATAGGCACTGGCTAACACCCAAAAATAACAATAAATGATGAAGAAATTGAAAATGTCACAAACTTTGAATATCTAGGCTCTTCAGTAAACAGCAAAGGAGACTGTTTGACAGAAATTAAAAGGAGGATGGCCATAGCAATGCAAAGATTGAACAGCCTTAAAAGTCTATAGTTAGGCACCAGAAAGGAGATCAACATTATTATTTTGAGAGCACGCATCTTCCCTGTGGCTACATACGGATGTGAGTCGTGTACTATCTGTCAGTCTTTAAGAAAGAGAATAGGGGCCTTTGAGCTGAAATTCTATAGAAAGATTCTTTTAATATAAAAGAAGAGGAGAAATACTGACATCTTGAAAGATCTGAACATCCAGGAAGATTGGCTAATAAACAGCATCCTGTCTCGGAAGCTGAAATATTTTGGTTATATCAAGCGCGGATTAAAAAAAATATAGCAGAGAGTATGGTACCAGGAAGGAGGTTCAGGGGCCGACCGACACGAAGATGGGCACAGGATATAAGTGACTCCTTGAGTATGAAAGTACATGAGGCAGGAGAATTGGCGAGAGACCGAGTTTCTTTCATGCAGACCGTGATGAGTGCGACGTTCTGAAAAGGACCTGCTACATGATGATGATGGCATGAAAGGGACCATGAAGTTGTTCCACTAGTTTTGGGAACAGCGTCTGTCGTGACTAAAGTTCAATGCAGGAGTGGCAGAGACTGTCACACACTCCACGTAAAAACGATGATACTTTATCATTCAGAGGCTGGTTTTCTCTCAGACATCTGCTCCCTATAGCTTGCTGCGTCTGGTTTATTCCAAACTGCTGCAGTCCCTTTTCACAGCCTGCTTCCAAAGGAGTTGGTCTGAAGCTGATATACAAAGTGCATATAAACGGTAATGATAGTGATATTGATGGCGATGATGACGATTAACGTGCAAAAGATTGAGTACAGATTTCGAGAGATTATAGTGCCCACTTTCTGACCTGATTAAAATAAATCCAGTTCGCTTATTTAACACTATCTCTCCCACTCTCTGACGTTCCACGATATTTGATTTATATCTTCCTAATGTTACTGATCGTATCAACCAGGAAGCCGGAAACCCGTGAATTATACCTTCACTGATCATCTAAAAAAAACCCTCGCAATTCCCTAATTCAAAATAATGGCAATTTAACATTGCAGTTTACTAGAACGGCGTTACATGTGTAGTCATGCGCTTGAGAAAAAGGGTTAGTGCTGGAAGATCCAGCCGAGTGAGCAAGAGTGCGAATAGAGAACGAGGGAGCCACAGTGGCGATGTAAATGGCACTTTTGCTTTTTGGCCTGGAGGTCATGAGTTTATAAAAATTGAACATGTTGAGCTCAAAAGCTATGCCCTGTTCGGATTTTGCCTTTCTACATAGCAGATAAAAAAAGTAATGAGGACGTCTTGAAAGAAACTGACCTACATAGTGAACTGATTCTCCACATCAGAAAGAGGCGGTCTGCATTTTCGGGTCAATTGATGAGAAAGAGAAAACTGGAGTACATCGTGACGGTTGGAACGTTTGAGGGAAAGAACGGCAGAGGGAGACCGGGAGAAAAGATGCTGGATAGTTTGAAATTATGGCATGAAAGATTTTCTGTGTCAGAGTTGATTGAAAATACATGAGACGGAAGGTTGTGGATTGACATGACTACAAACGCCAGACGGTAAGGGCCTAAAAAAAGAAGAAGTTTACCTCCGGGGAGCCCAGTATAACTGCTAGGCGGCTGAACAGGGTTTCTGTGACTAGCACATGTAGGATCCTGATCCTTGTTTGTGGTTATCCAGTGGACTACAATCCTAGAGCGTATAAACTAACTTAACCTAATAATAAGGCACAACGATAAAAATGAACGTTCTAAATATAACGATTTCCGTGGCTTGAAAAACAAAGACAATCTCGGCAAAGTCAATAGCATACCTAGGCACTGCATGCATGAAGCAGCCATATGAAGCACCAACGCCAACAATCCGACACTAGAAATTGAGTTCATCGTAGACGGAATTAGCATTGACAGCATATCTGTTGCTGCACATGTAATTAATTTAATCAGTCGAATTGTGACGTTTTGGGATGCGATTAACTCCTTCAGTCTGTCTCTTCTGGGTCTACAGTTTCCATTTTCCTGATGTAGGCTCTTGCGGCCGGCAACCATTTCAGCCTTTCTTGTTCTAAAAAATTTAATGATAGGTCTAGTTCCAACAGTACTTCAAGTCTCTTCATTTAGTCTGCTTCTTCTCAGTAGCTAAGTTCAAATAGTTTTTCAGATGTTCTCTCCGTATGGGTTTCAGTGCCAAATTGTTGTGTGGGGGAGGGGTATGGGGGATTGGGGTATGGGGGATTTGGGTGGCGAGACAAGAATAGACCCACTGCCTCTCCAACATGCAGGTCGTAAAGAGCTGACTTATCAGGATCGTCCTTTGAAGTCCAAGTTTATCCGCCTGAGAGGCAAAGAACCAACACGGATGTACTCAATTTCTTTTTCTGGGATCATCTGAAGATGTAATTGTGTTGTGTACGTTTACAGCATGGCTGCGATATTTGCGCCTTTCGGAAAGAGTACATCTGACTTCTGCCGAAATTTGTTGACTAGGTTAGCCTTCCGGGAGACACTCAGGTTCTACAACAAGACTAAAGTCCAGAGGTGGACGAACAACCAAAACTTTTGGCTAGAGTTTACAGCCAGTGAACGCGAAAAAAAAAAAGAAGAGAATATTAGGTATTATTTATCAATGTTCCAGCTATTAATTTAGCACATAATATTCTAATAAATAGTTGCTCTAATACATATTTTAGTATTTTTCTATGGTCAATGAAGTTTGGACATCAGAGTGAACATAAGGGGATGAAGTAAGAACTGGACAGCTTGGGTTGGTGTGAGAACTAGGTGGGTCACATGGAGTTGAGAAAAAGTTCGAATATCGGTCAACAAAAAAAAAAAAAAACGCATATCAAGTTGCTTGATATGGCTATTGTCAGTAAACTCGATTTGCGTGAAAAATGTGGTGGAACCAGCAAGTCAGTTAACAGAACAGAACACTCAACCAACCAGCCAAATAACTAGCCAACCTACCAACCGACCAAATCGCCAGCCAGTAGAAAAGAACAAGCTAACCACCCAACCAACCAATCAACCAAAAAGTCAACCAACCAACAAGCTAACCAGTCAGCCAATCAATCAACCAAATGACTAAGTAGCGACCCAGAAACATATTAAACCAACAAATCGGCAAACCAGCCGGGCCAACCAAACAGCCATTCATTTAACCAACCAGCCAGCCTGCCAACCGACCAACTAACCAGCCAATCAACAAACAAATAAACTAACCAGTTATGAAACTTATCAATCAAACAGAACATCAACCAGTCAACCAGCCATCAAGAAACTAAACAATGAACAAACTAACAAAACAATTAACTAAAATACCTTCCAGCTAATAAACATGACAGTTAAACAAGTAACCAAAAACTAGCCAACTACCCAGTTAATCAACCATTAGGCCAACTTGTTAGTAACTAATTAGCCAACGAACCAACCAACTTGCCAACCATTCAACTAACCAGACACCCAACCAACTAGCCAACCATCCAACCAACCAGCCAACTGACCATCCAACCAACGAGCCAACCATCAATCAAGCAAACAACCAGATAACTAACCAATCCAACAAACTAAAAATATTACACATACGTCAATATCAAATGCTCATTTACACCAAACATCTATTACAGATGCAGTCCTCAATATCATTCCATTCTAAACAACAAACAGGTTGAACACTAATTACATTACTAACCTGACTGATGAAAGAAAGCTCTTTAGAACTAACTCATCGAGGTACTGAGGTGAAGGCAGAACTTCATCAGAACTGATACTAGGTGAGATATTTCGTTTGGCGGCCACTCCTCTGCATACTGGAGCGAAAACATATCGTCTGCAATCAGTAATGTAAGTAATTAGGAAAGGAAACCGTTCTACACCCGTATCTTCTCATTTTAAACAACAAATATAAGTAGCTGGGGGTTAGAAAAAGAATGTTTGCATGTTGTCTTGAGCCAGTTTAAACATGTAAATGTGAATCCTGGACAATTGATAAACACATTGTAAATTTAATTAATGAGGATACAGACAATAAAGTGCACATTGAAGAGAGAGAGGTACACTTAACTTGACAATGCAATTTGTATTTCAGTGTGAAGGAATCATTTTTTGTGTGTTTCATTACATGTTGTTTTTATTCTGTAGCAATGCACCTGCTTCATATACCAGGCAGTGAATTGCGCAATGCATTATTTGTGTCCGCATGTTTTGAATAAAAAATTAAATCAAACAATTTCTTGGCGTCGAAAGTGTGGTTTTACAGAATAATTTTAGACTTTATTGAACAGCTGATTCGACCAACCCACTTTGTTTTGAAAGAGACGAGGGCTGGAAGACAGGTTAAAACAAAATTCCCAGAGAGACAGCCATCATTCTCTGGATGTCTGTCTGTCTGTCTGCCTGTTTGCCTGTCAGTCACTTCGTCCGTCCATCCGAATGCCCGTCTGTCTGTCCGTCCGTCCATCTGTCTGTCTGTCCGTCCGTCCGTCCGTCCGTCTGTCTGTCTGTCTGTCTGTCTGTCTGTCTGTCTGTCTGTCTGTCTGTCTGTCTGTCTGTCTGTCTGTCTGTCTGTCTGTCTGTCTGTCTGTCTGTCTGTCTGTCTGTCTGTCTGTCTGTCTGTCTGTCTGTCTGTCTGTCTGTCTGTCTGTCTGTCTGTCTGTCTGTCTGTCTGTCTGTCTGTCTGTCTGTCAATTATTCCCTAACCATCCACACGATGTCTTGATATAAAACCGTTGTCATCTATATAGTCCAACTCCTCTGAAATCGAGGGGAAAGTGGAGGGGGGGGGGGGGGGGTGGTCTCGAGGCATGGTGTCCGCCTCGAGTGCAAGAGGTTCCAGGTTGAAGCCCCGGTAAGGGCTGGTATTGTTCACGTGGACTTTGACTTTTAGTAATTCACCCTGGTCTCTGGGTAGTAAGATCGGACGCCCGTGTGCATTGTTGCGCACGTAAAAGAAATCACTTGGCAGTTGGAAATCGGAAAGTGTCCCGGCGCTGCTCGGGAAAAATTGTGATTCGAAAATCTACCTAAAGTATTTCAGGATCCTCGCCGGTGCAACAGAGCTTGTGCACTGTGCGTAGGTTCTTCGGCCTGAGACTTCAGTTAGAAGAAGAACGAAGCACTTATGGGTTACACCCGTGTTCCATGTTTTTGATCCGATGTTCAAAATGACAAACTTCAAAAACCTCAAATCTGAAACCGAGACGAGTGATGATAGATGAGACTGTTTCTGTCTCATGTAACTTCCTTTACCAGCCAGTCAATGGCCGGGCTGAACAACAGAAATGAAAGTATCCCACAATGCACAACTCTTGTGCAGGCAAAGATACTCTCTACTGTATGATCAACGCAGACTATCTTGCACTAAAACTTGACTTATTAGTCCAGATGAACCCAAATTCTCAGCTTAAATTAGATTCGAACAGATGGCAAAGTAATGGAAAGATAAGTGCGCTGGACGATACGTTAGAGTGACTTCCGGTAGCAGTGAAATGAGGAAAACGAAAATTTTCGGGCATGGCACATATGATGCTAGACCAGTTTTCTTTAGACCAGGGCTTCTCAATCCTGCTGGTCGCGAACACCCATTTTTTTATTTTGCGTGGGTCGAACGACCCTTTCACAGGGTCGTCTAGGACCATCGGAAAACACATATTCATTAGAATTATGTTAGTTAGTTAGTCTTTCCTCTTGTGTCGAGTGCGGCACATAGGGCAGAGGTCATGACTCTCCATGCATGGCGGTTCGTTGCAATCTGTTGTAGGTCTTGGAAGTTTGAGTGGCCTATGAGCGAGCCTTCCCTGATGATAGTTCTACGTAGAGTTTCCCTTGGTCTTCCACGAGATCTTTTCCCCTGTGGTGTCCAAATGAGGGCTTGGTAATGAAGTCTTGATTTATCCATTCTAAGGGCGTGGCCGACATAGTTCCAGCGGCGTTTTCGTATAAAATTAGACACATACTCTTGCCTGGATTCTTGCCTTATTTGTGTATTGGTTCGGAAATCTGACCATTTGAAATTTAGTATTCTTCTAAGGCATTTATTTTCAAAATTGTCTAATTTTGTGTCTAGAGTTTTCGTTGATTTCCAGCTCTCGCATCCATAGGTAAGTACTGGAATCACACAAGAATTGAAGATCTTGGGTTTTGTGTGTTTGCTAAGTGTCTTTGATTTCCAGATGTTGGACAGTTTATTGAAGGCACTAGATGCCAGTGCTATTCTAAATGGTATTTCTGGTGCGGTATCTCCTGTAGATGACATCTTGCTCCCTAGGTAACTGAAACTGTTGACTTTTTCAAGGCTGTTGTTGTTCAGCGTGATATCAACTGAACTGTCGGTAAGGTCTAGAATTTTTGTTTTTGCGGTGTTAATTTGGAGTCCAATTTGTTCTGAGAAATTCTGGAGTCGATTGATTTTTTCTTGGGCGTCTGTGTGTTCTGAACTCAGGAGTGCTATGTCGTCGGCGAAGTCTAGGTCTTCCAGAATTTTGTCAACCCATGTAATGCCTAAATTTGCGTTATTTATGCACTTGCGCATGACCCAGTCGATTGCTATACCAAAAAGCATCGGCGATAGGACACAGCCTTGCTTCACTCCTGTTTCCACCGGGAACCAGTCAGAATTGCCGGATTAAGTTCTTACACAGCATCGTGTTTTATTATAAAAAGATTGTATGATGTTGATATATTTGATGGGGAAACCATAGATGTTAAGCAATTTCCAGAGTGTTGGACGATGGATACTGTCGAAGGCTTTTTGGAAGTCGACAAAGTTGATCAATAATTTCGACTGGAATTCTGTAGAATCTTCAACAATTATTCTAAGAGTAAAGATGTGGTCTATGCATGACCGCTTGGATCTAAAACCGGCTTGTTCTTCCCTTAATCTTTCATCTATGGATTTTTTCAATCTTTCTAGTAGCATACTACAAAATAGTTTCCCTGGTATCGAAAGCAGGGTGATGCCTCTCCAGTTGTTACAATCAGATAAATCGCCTTTTTTAGGTAATTTGAAGATTACACCATCTTTCAATTGTTGTGGTGGGTATTCGTTTTGCCAGACTTCATCCATCAGCTGGAGCAAATGTTGCAGGGTGTTTTCATCCGCTGCTTTGAGCATTTCCCCTGAGATGTTGTCCTCTCCGGTAGCTTTGTTTATTCTTAATTTTTTAATAGCTGTTTTAATCTCCTCTATTGTGAATGACTCGCTGGAGGCAACTAGTGTCGGTGTAATAATTTCTTCTTCTAGATTGGGAATGATGTCAGGATTTGGTCTATTTAATATTTCCTTGAAATGTTCAGCCCATCGCTTTGTTTGTTGATCGTCGGATAGCAGTAGTTTACCCTGATTGTCTTTAATGGGTGTATTTAGTGTAGGTGAGTGATTGCACAGTTGTTTCATAATATGGAATACGGCTTTGTTGTTTCCAATCTTGGCAGCTGTTTCAGCATCGGAGGCGAGGTCGTGTATGAAGTTCTGTTTGTCTTTCCTTGCATTTGATTTCACTTCTTTGTCTAGCGTGCTGTATTTTTCGTATGAAGATGCGTCTTTTTTGGATAAAAGTGTTAATTTTGCTTGTTTCCTTTCTTGGATTTTTGACCAAGTGTTGTCGCTTAGCCACTTCTTTTTCTGTTTTTGTACATAACCAACTGTGTTTACTGCAGCGTTCGTCAGTGTGTTCTTGAAAAAGTCCCAATTTGTGTCTATGTTATTTGTAGTATCCGCATTACTAGTTTTGGTTATATAGGTGGTGAGTATCTCTGCATTGAATGCGCTTTGATGATCTTTTTAGAATTATGAAGGACAATAATTGTTAGGGAGTCTCCACAATATTAAAGAACTGTATAAAAAATGTCTCGGCATTAGGAAGGTTAAGAGCCAGTGCTTTAGTCCGATTGTCATTTGATGGATGCCTTCACATTTTAGGACATTTGCTAACGCCTGTTATAGGCAGGGTCAACGTTTGAGTCAAAGCTAAACATCTCATGGCGGTGTGTATCCGAACCCAACTCATGATAATAGCAAGCGTCTAGTAATTATGTCGGCTCTGTGGCCAATTCGATGCGAACGCTTCGTAATGCCGGGTTCGATCCCAGCGGGCCATGCGCCTTGCGTTGGTTTCAACAGTGGTATCAAGTAAGCCGACCGTCCAGTAAGCAATGACAAACTACTGGACGTAAATTTGCCTAGAAATACCACACAACAGCCAGGGGCTGTTGGGGTTGGTTTTGCGTTAGGGGGGACACCCCCATCACCTTGTGCCAAGGATACGTGGCTCAAGGTCGACCAATCACAAGTGAGCTAGTGTGTAAGAGTGAGTAAATGGGAGGACTTTCGTCGAACTAACCGAAAGACCACAACAATTGGCAAAGCCTCTTAACTATGCACAACACGGCAGTTACCCAACACTGTTTGCTCATTTAATAAAGTGCGTCTTGTATTACAGGGGTCACAGCACATGCACCCAGTCACGTGAAACCCACAAGTCGTCCGTTCACCGCACAGTGTCATCAACTCAACCAGCCTGATTAGGGCTAGTGTTTAGAAAGTCATTTGTTTTGTGTTCGATTACAGCCAGTGAAAGGTAAATAGCCGGGGATCGATTGGTGGCCTCCATTCTTGATTGCGTTTACATGTATTTTGTGTTTAACTGGGGGGGGGGGGGGGGGGGGGGGGGGGGGGTCATTTGTTGTGCACTGTCATGTTTAATAATCTTCATGATCATATAATCTAGTGCCATGCCGAAAAGCGTTCTTTGGGATGGTACATTGGGCCAAACTCATTCTCTCACTCCTCCTGTTCCTCCGTCTAGTCTTCCTTCTCATCCTCCTTCTTTC